TCCTCATTGGGCTGGAGTCGTCCTCAGAGCTCAGCCCTGGAGCCCACACAGCTTTCTTCCACCTTCCAACCGGGCTGACTTCTGCGACAGATCTTATCTGAGGAGCACACCCAGCGTGTAGGTCTGTCCTACCCAGACCTGTGAGGAGGGTGCTACTCATTTCATTCTAGCAGTGGCCCTTTGGGAGTGAGCACATTGCCGCTTTCATTTCAAAGATGGAGAAACCCAAACCCAAGACATCAGCCACCTGCCCTGCTGACCTGATGCTGAGTCACCGCTGGGCATCAGAGCCCCGAGCCCGGACCAGGAGCACTGGGATTCGGCCCTGTGTGGGAGCCGATCAAGCTGGGGACACATGCCAAGTCAGCTGGGTTTCTGTATGGAAATTGGGGCTTTCCCTTCCTTTTCTTCGGCGATCATCATCTTCACTTTACAAGAATACCTCAGCAGGGCAGCTCCTTCTCATGCATCACGCCTGACATCCACAGGTCTCTGCTCCCCACTGAGGGGATTCGGCTGAATTTCCCAGTGAGTGAGTGAATTTCCCTGTCATTGAGCCACCCCGGAAGAACCAGCGTGTGTTTTTCCACAGGACAACAGTACAAGTAGGTGCTTTGGGAAGATTGATGTCACCGAGAAAGCGGGTGTAGCCTGTGGTCACCAAGGTGTTGTATTTTGAAGCTGCAGGAAGAAAGTGCTGGCTGTCACCAGGAAACCAAGAATGACACTCTACTGCAGGAACACCGTTGTTATTGGAAAATTAACACAAAGCCTCATGCTGCACGGCACGCTGGAGAAACAGGAGTGGCCTGAATGGGTTGTTTGTTCCAGCCAACTGCTGTGAAGGACTTGAAGAATCATCTCAGGGGTTTGTACTCTGGAGCACTCCCTGGAGAGCATAGGACGCGTGATGAAGAGGACACTAGTTAGTGCTGGCACACGTTCATTAACGCACGAAGTTGTCCTTGTCGCCCTTGAGCTGCTGTGACTTCCACTGACAGCAGCACAGGTGCCTCCCACTCACGTCAGCTCCGCAGTATCCCTGGGGCCTGACTGGTTGGTGTTGGCTGAGATCCAAGCTGGACTTGTGTCTATGCTGGGAGTGATAGGAGTTGCTGCATTCAGACTCTTTCAAAGAAGCCTTTATCTCTATCTCTCTCTCCCTCTCTCTGTCTCTGTCTCTCTCTGTCTCTCTGTCTCTCTGTCTCTCTCTATCTCTCTCTCTCCCTCTGGTAATGGGGATCAAACCCAGAGGACACTCAACTACATTCCAAATCTTTTTTGTTATGATTTTGCTTTTGTTTTTGAGGCAGGGTCCTGCTAATTGCCCAAACTGGCTCAGAACTTGGGATCCTCTCGCCTCAGCTTCCCAACTTACTGGGATTCCAGGCTTGTGCTACAATGCCTGGCTCCACCTTTCTAACAGATACATATGCTCTCTATAAACTTAATCTTCAATGAAAGCACTAATCAAAGAAGTAAAAGGGAGGCTAAATAAAAAGAATTCAAGAAGCCGGAAGTATGGCTCAGAGACACAGCAGCTCCCTGGCAAGTGTGAGGTCCTGAGTTCAATTCCTGGTTCCAACAAACAAAACAATTCAAACCTCTGTAGACCACAGGACTCTTGAACCAGTTGCAAAATGTGCTCCATCATGGCAGAGGACACCATGGTTCCTCATGTGCTACGTAAGGACACAAACTGTTGTTAGCGTGTTTCAGTCGGGACTTCAGAGAGTCCACAAAGCCCAGTGGTCCTTGACAGCTGGTGTCACACTGCTCAGACTCTTGGCTGGACCAAGCAGCATGCAGGGCAGGCAAATCCCCAGGCCCTTTGCCTCAGACACCGCAGAGTGAACATACACCCGCAGGGAGAGCGTCAGAGCACACTGCCTGTTTCTGTCCTCCGCCCGCCCCTCCTCGGACCCTGACCTGCCCAGAGGTCCAGCCTTGGCCAAGCATCATAGATTAAGTCTCTCCCTCTGCTGCCTTGTGGGGGATGAGATGTCCATGCACTTGGTAGGCACCTTCCACCCTCAGCAGGGTGCAGGAGGCTCGGAGCAGACCTTCACCCGGCTCACACAGCTGGGAAACTAAGGAGAGTCTGTCCTCTGTTAAGGGAACCTTTCTTTCCCTAGCCCAGGGATCAGCCGAAGCCATGACAAACTGCTTCACCTCTGGCAACCACAGATTGAGTTAAGAACAAAAAACTCCCGTCCTGACTCCCTGCAGTGCGCAGCCAGCTGGAGCTGCGGCGGGAGAAGTGGACCAGCTATGAAGGCGCTCCTCTCTTTCCATGGAGCATCCTCAGCAGGTGGAATTCTTCCTGGGGTGTGTGTCAGGTGACTTCAAGAAAGCAACACGTTCCCAGCAGCCCAGCTGAATTTGCGGTATCTTTGTTTAGTTGTCAGAGTGTGTTTGTAATGCATAATGGTTCCGTGCACCTCAAGGAACTGGTGCACACATATGCACGCACGCACTGCATCTTGATCCTTTTGACTTCCTCTTCCCATCTCCACCTTCCTGTTTCCTCAAATCTCTTATTTTGCTCTTAAAATTTTCCTTTGGGTTTCTCATACAAGAGAAACCATGTGACACTGAGCCTTCTGGTCCGATTTCACTTAGCACTGTGGTCTCTAGATCCATCCATTTTCCTACAGATGACTCAAATGTATTGCAGGCTTCTGACGATAGGATTCAGAGGGTAAAAACTAGGCCACGGGTGCTCTTGTTTGTTCCTTTGTTTCTGTTAGTGCTGACTGGGGGACCAAGGCTCTCTCACGGAAGCATCTGTGTTCTGACACAGGAGGGTGGATGACCAATGGAGGAGAAAGGGTGTCCAGGCTCTTTTGCTATTTCCTTTTTATTGCTGTAACTATTATTTGAAGGCTATGCAAATAAAATTACCTTAAGTGAAAAATCTGATTTTATAAAACAAGAGCTAGAGAACTTAACTGCCGTGAGAGGCAAGATTTGCAGTCAGGAGGTACAGCACCTTCCCGTGAGGTGAGCCTGTGTGAGTTCAGCAGCAGAGCTCTGAGAGGGCGGAGCACAGGGCTACATCCTTGGGCTCAAGTGTGTGAGGCCGGCCTTCAGAGCCGGGTCCTGTGTTGCTTCGGCACCTGGCAGGGAGTTAAGGTGCAGGGGTCTCCTCCCGCTGTTGCACTGTTGATGCCCTTCAGTCTGCAGCTCCCTTACCACTGGGCCTTCACTCAGATCCTGCAGCCACACTTGTGGTAAGAGTGCAGAGGAAACCGCAGCTAGGTCGGCAGGAGGGGACACTTCCGACCGCACAGCATCCCCAGGATGTGCTGTTCCAGGGACAGTCCTATCCCCCATACCTATGCGGCCAGCTTCCTGAAGAAGCTCTCCTCACCGCTGAAACAGCACCAGGGAGTCCGTCATCCCAGCTTTGTCCGCCGTATGTGAACATTGCCATGTATAGCTTTGTGTCATTCTTTTTTTCTTCTGCGTGGTTCTTCATTTGGCTTTTGGAGTAGTTTTTGTGGGAGGGCTTTTGTTGTTGTTTGTTTGTACGAGTCCATGTTTGCAGTACATAACGCTCACACTGTGTGTGGAGATGGTGCTTGTCCACAACCCAGCTCAATTCCTGTTTCCATCCTCTTCCCTCCCCTCCTTGCCCCTACCCCCAGCTCTTGATCCCCTTCCCATTTGAGGAAGACCTGCCTCCCTACTTACCATTATCTATCTTTTATTTTGCTCTTTATTTATACTTTGAATTCTTTATATAAGAAAAACTGTGCAACATTTGAGTTTGTGTGTTTGATTAATTTCATATAACATTATGGTCTCAAAGTGCATCCATTTTCCTACACATGACACAAGTTCATCTTTCTTTATGGCAGACTACTGCTCTACATTTTCTTTGTTCATTCATCTGTTGATGGGTATATAGGGCACTTCCAAGATTTAGCTAGTATGCATTGTGCTGCAATAAATATGGGTACGTTTAGATCACTGCGATATGATGTCTTTAACTCTCTTAGGAAGATACCTAGAAGGGTATCTTCTAGGGGAAATAGCTGGGTCAAGTGGAATTTCTATTTTCAATTTTTTGGGAAATATCCACACTGATTTCAGTACTGGTTGTGCCACTTTACACTCCCACAATGCAAAAGAGTCTTTTTACCAGTAGCCTTTCCGGCAGTTGTTATTTGATTTCTTCTTGATGGCCATTCTTTCTGAGGTAAAATGGCATCTCAGTGCTGTTTTAATTTTCATTTCTGTAATGCCCAGTGATGTTGAACTTCTTTTCATGTATTTGTTGCCCATTCATATTTCTGTGAAGTGTCTGTTCATTTCAGATACCCACTTTTTGATTGTGTCTTTTATTTTGGGAGGTCAACTTTTAAAAATTCTATATATGAGTCCTTTGTCTCATTCTGTAGGTTTTCTTTTCACTCTGTTTGTTGTGTCTTTTGTTGCACAGAAGCTTCTTTATTTCATATGATCCCATTTGTTGATTCTCAGAACGATTTGGTGTACATCTGGGGTTCATCCTTAGCTATGATCTGTGAGTTGAGAGTTGTACCTGTCTTGTCTTCTAGCAGGTTATTTCTCTGTTACCACGTAGTTCATTGACCTGTTTTGATTTTAGGTCAGTATATGGTGAGATAAATGGGCCTAGCTTTAGTCTTCTGCATGTGGACAGCCAGTGTTCCCAGCACTCACTTATTACAGAGGCTATCTTTCTTCTTGTGTGTGTTTTTGGCCTCTTTGTCAAAGATTAAACAGTTGAATGTACTTAGGGTTATGTCTGCATCCTCTATGCTGCTCCACTGATCCTCTTGTCTGTTTTTGTGCCCATACCATGCTGTTTTCATCATGGTAGTTTTGTAATATAACTCCAGGTCCAGGATTGTGATGCCTCCTGCTTTGCTCTTGTTACCCTGGATTGCATTAGGCTTACTGACTGACCATAAGCATTTTTCCATGTTGCAAAGCATCAGATCTGCTAACTTGTGAATGTGCCTCTTGTATAGATCTGCAACTACGTGGGCCCTGCCAAGGTCATCGTTCAGCTGGTCACAAATGGGAAGAACATCCACCTTCATGCCCACAGCCTGGTGGGAAAGCACTGTGAGGATGGTGTCTGCACTGTCACTGCGGGCCCCAAAGACATGGTTGTCAGGTGAGTGGGGATGCTGGGAGGCTGGGGTGCATGGACACAGTGCAGGGACAGCCACCTTGCCCCCATCACTGGGGACCTCAGCAAAAGCTAAGAGGTCTTATGCTGCCACCTGGACCCTGGAGGAAAGTGACCATATATGTGTGGGGTTTTGGCCCAGAGATGCTCACAGAAGCATCTCAGCCTGGATGACAGATTACAGGACCACTTGACCTAGGAGGTGTTTATGTTACTTTTAACAGTATTTTTATTCTTCTGGAATAAAGTTAGGAACTATAGCAGAAGTCATACTTTTGTGGGTGGTTTTTACATTATTAATGTCCCTTCAATGGATTCAGAAGGTGTGCAAAGATAAGAAGCCAAGGAATGCAAATTTACTTTGGCATTGATAGACATGAAACATAGAAAGGAACAGGGGCCAAGGGTTTAGCTCAGTGGCCCAGCACCTGCCTGGCAAGTATGAGGTCCTGAGTTTGATTCCCAATACCCAAAAAAAGAAAAAGAGGGACATACTAATCTAGAGATTGGCCAAATGAAACAATCAGTTTTTAATGAAGTTTAATGGAAATAATTTCAATGCAGAACTAATCAAGAAAAATTTCAATAAGGTGTATTTATTGTGCTAAAGAACAGATTTTATTCTTCATTTTCCCAAAACACTAAAATAGCATACAACATGGCAGTTTAGCACGATGAATGATATGCTGTATGTTGATCTATGCAATCAGTACTTCCCAAAATGGTGATTTTAAGTTCTACTTTGGGGCTCCTTTAAAAAAAAAAGCAGAAACTTTTGGTAATTTTGCTTCATTTTAAAAATATATTTCACAGCGTTGTAATCCTGATTTAAACAGTTTACATTAAAACCTTAGTTGTTTACTCCAAAGAAAGCAGTTGTTCAAATCAGCTAAGATTAAGCTGATGGTGGTGTTGACAGTGGCTTTGCGGGACAAGTTTCAGGTTGGCCAGTACTGGGAAGGCTGAGCTCTGGCGTTCTTTGGTATCTCTCATTTACCTGAAAATACTCAAGTGTGAAAAACCTAGAGAGCTTTCTTTTAAGTCACAAACCCTTATTCTTCTGATGTTAGGAAAAAACACTCCAGGTTGAAGAAGGAAACTTAAATTGGTTTGATTCACTCAGTAGAGCTTTCTATGAACTTCTCACACTGTCCTCCTGCAGGCGGCCACTGCCTCTCGTAGTCCTCATCCGGCCACACTCCTGACAGAACCTGATCCCGCCCCAACCCGACCCACCCTTGAGGGCTTTGAATGTGGGGCAGCTGTGTCAAGCTGAGGCAGGCTGGGGTTTCTGCAGATTCGGTCCTTCAGGGTCCTGTCAGGGTAAAGAGCATGTTCTCCTTCGTCCTCTGTAATATGTGTCATAATTGTGTCTCTGAGTGGGAGTTGTAAACAAAGTTCCCTGTGAATAGAGCCTGTTACCTTAAAACTCCCAGGATGTTATCTGACATTTGCTGTTCTGTGGCTCGGGTTAATAGTCCCAGGTGATTTCAGAAGGAACCAATGATTTGTTTGGAGCCCAGGGCAGGAGTAGAAGTAATTCCCTGTCTCCAGGTAAAGTGAGGAAATTCCTCCACTCTCTTATAGTCCATTGGGGTGGGAGCTCAGGAGTTGGGGGCACTCACCATCATTCACTCATTCATTCATTCATGTACCCATCTAAACCCGCATGATGTTGGTTTGATGTAGCTCTGTGGGATATTCTCACCTGGAACCCATCACTGAGAAATGTGACCCAGGAGACAGGGCCTAAGAGTGACACCAGACTATCTGTCACCTTTCTTGTTCACTGTCCCATGGAACATTGATTCTCCCTGTCATGTAGCTTTTAGCTGAGAAATTTTTGCTCACAGTGATTTTTTCTAAAGTACAGTCTTTCCTCCACTGTTATCTTTCTGCTGTGTCCAAGCCTGTTGCTTTTTCCTAGCAAGGGTAGCTGGGAGCCAGTGTTCTGCCCTCCCGACAGCAGGACATTGCAAGATTCTGGACACCTTGATTTCTTCCTTGCAAGATGACAAGCCCGCACTACAGAATCCTCTCCAGCCTCTGTCTGCAGAGCTGTAGACAGGGCTAGGATTTGCTAATGGTGTGGAGGAACAAGAGCAGACTTGCCGTGCGTGTCTCTGCAGGAAGCCCCAGTTACTACTCTTCAGTTCTGACTTGCAGGCAAGAATATCAAATAGAGAAAGTTGGGGTGACAGCCAGACTATTCCTCAGGCTTCTCCATGCTAGGACTAGCACCAAGATAAGAAAGCAGTCTTCAACAATCTCCATTCTGCGTAGACTCAGAATGGAGATTCGCCACAAGCCCAGTCACCACATCAGAGGAGATGTGTAAAAATGGCACCAGGGAGAGGCGTTGCCTCTCAGTTACCAAAGCCAGCAGCGTTACCTTCCATCACAGCACTTCTCTTCGCCTTTCTCTCAGCATGAATTCTCAGTAAATTCACTTTCTTTTCTCAAAACTACTTTATATTAAAATATTCATGTTTTAAATACCTAAGTCTTTTTAATTAGCTTTTACTTTGTCTTATTTCTGTTTATTTACTTAGCTTTTACTGTCTTTCTTGACTTAAAAATAATAATCCTAGTTTGACATTTCATTCTAACTTGGAATACCATCAGTTTTTCAACAACACCTCAGCTCCATGAAATTCTATTTAGATTCTCTTTTTCGTTTTCAATTAGTACCCACAGGTCCACTTTCCAGGTCCACTTCTCGTAAGCACAGAAGTGGACCTGGAACGGTAGAATACAGAGGAGAAGCAGTGGGTCCAGCCGGGAAGCCGGGCGGCCGTGTGGAACAGCTGTCCTATAGCCCCCGCCAGCTGGTGTCATTCCCAGGCTGAGCCTTCGCATGCCGCTGGGGCGCTGGCTGGAGGGTGACCAGGGTGGCTGAGGTGGGCATGTGGTAGGGGCAGCATTTGAACCCCAGGAGGGCAGAAGTGTCCCAAGCCTGAAAGAACGACAGACACAGAGGGGCCACTTCGAATCTCAACTCAGGGACAGGGACTCCGATGTAGCCAGGGAAGACTTTGACTATAGAAACTCAGAAACAGTGCAGGGGTCTGGGCCTGGCTGCCAGCGTCACCCTGGGTCACCATGTGCACACGTGAGTGCCGGGCACTCCCCTAGACTCCATTCTGGTTGGGCAGGACCATGCAGGGCAGGTGCGCCGAGCTCAGCAGTAACGGGAACCAGCTGGAGGGTTTGCTGTGTACAGCGTGCATTCCAGGTCCCGCCTCAGTTCCAGATCCCATAGGCATGGTGGGGAGCCCCCAGAGTTGTGTTTTAATAATTCTAAGATAACGCTCACGCTGGTGGTCAGGCAGCACAGCACAGCATTTTAAGGAAGAAACAGGATTGTAGTCCCAGTCTCTTTATTAGCTGTATACTTTCTTTTTTTAAAAAAATTTTAACTATCAATTTATGGAAGGAAAATTTAATTACTGCAGCGGTCACCCATAAAGTGTTCATTTCTGAGTCAGTCCTGACAAATACTCATTTAACCACCACAGGCAAGGCAGAGAACAGTTCTGTCACCCAGCCCTGTGTCCCTTTGTAGTCCAGCAGCCCTGGGAAATGTACCTCCCCAGCCCCTGGTTTTGCCCTGCAGCTGGAAGGGTAGAACCTGCAGCCCGCTGCTGCCACACCTTGATGGCTGATTCCTTTCACTCACTAAGTAGCATGACGTGGTATCAGTGCACTATAGTTTACCCACCTCTATCTGAAGGACACTTTGTTTCTTTCTGGCTTTCCCTGCTAAAGCAGCTTTTGTGTGAGTAGAAAGTAGAATTCAGGGAAGACTAAGGTTGTGTTTATTTTGATAAGAAGCCACCAAGTTGTTTTCAGAGTGACTGGGCCTTTTCATATTCTTATGAACTCCTATTTGTAATCCTAAATTTTTCTTTCATATATATCCATGATAACATGCCCCCATTTTCTTTTATACTTTTTTGTTGTTGTTGAGACGGGGTTTCACTGTGCAGTTCAGGCTGGCCTTGAACTCACTTTATAACCCAAGCTGGCCTTGAACTCACAGTGATCCTCCTGCCTCAGCCTCTCGACTGCTGGGATTACAGGCATGCACCATCCTGCCCAACCTCTTTTATACTTTCTTATGGAAATTTTCAAACATGTAAAAGTAGAAAGAATAGCATGATTAGCAGTGGCTGTACCCATTGCCCAGCATCAACAATGAATTGTCCAGTGACCAATCTTGATTTAGATGGATTCCCACCTAGGTATTTTTTGGTTATTGATATTCAAGTAATTCCATTGTGGTAAAAGAATAATTGGTATGATTTGTATGCTTTAAAATTCATTGAGACTTCTTTCATAGTGAAGAATATAATGTGCCTTAGCAGTTTTTCCTTGTGTCTTAAAGCATGTTTACGCTTGTCTTGTTGAGTTGGTACTCCATAAACGTCCATGGGCCGAGTTGTTTGGTTGAGTTGCTCAAGTCTCTTACATTGTCACTGGTTTTCTGTCTACTGGTTCTGTTAGTTACTGAGAAAGGAATGTCGAAATCTCCAACTCTGTTTACAGATACATCTGTTTCTGCTTTGCATTCTATAAGATTTTGCCTCTGTTAGGAACCTCTTTTATGAGGTGCATAAACCTTGGGAATTCCCTCGTTCTCTTGATGAATCATGCCTTTATCGTTATGAACTGGCCCTCTTTTATCTTTGGGGTGCTGCTTGCACTAAAGTCTACTCCAGCTACTCCAGCTCTCCTTTGTTAATGTCAGTATGGAACACTTTCTGTGTATCTTCTTAGTTCTAACCTATTTGTGCATTTATATTCAGAATGGACAGACACTGCACATGGTTGACGCTTACTTTTTCATTCAGTATGACACTGCAATTTTTAATTGGAGTGTTCAGACAACTTATCACCAATGTGATTGTTGATGTGGCTGTTTGAGTCCGTCATGCGGATGTGTTTCCACTTGTCACATCTGTCTGTTGTTCTTTTTGTCCTTTTTTTTTTTCTGTTTTGGGGTTGTTATGATTTCATTTGGCTTATGTTCTGTTGTATTTTTAAGTAGCTGTTCTAGGATTTATGCTATCCGTCTTGAACCTTTAAGTAAAGTTACACCTGTCATGTGTTGTTTGTGAACCTTGGGATGTTATGCACTCACGACCTTTCTCTGTTGTGGCATATATTTTGCATTACACAAATGATATAAATCCCACAAAACATCGTTTTTCAATTTGGCCTTAGTCAAATATCTTTAAGGAATTTTTCTTTAATTACAGAAAAATACTATGTTACACAAACACACACTCATCATTTGCAGTGCTCCTCATCTATTTTGTGGCTCCTGATTCCTTTCTTTCTTTCTTTTTTTTTTTTTTTTTTTGTTGCTGGGAATCAAACTCAGGACCTTGTGCTTGCCAGGCAGGCACTGTACTGCTGAGCTATCTCCCTGGCCCCAGGGTCCTGTTTTTACCTGGCCTCATTTTTCTTCAGCCTGAAGCACTTTCTGCAGCTCTCCTCACACAGTGGTCAGTTGTTCTGCACCTGAAAGTCTCCCTTCGTCTCTGTCACTCAGGGAGTGTGTGCAAGGCAACGAGTTCAAGGGTGGCCGTTTCCACCTGTCCTTCCCGTCTGCAGTGTGGCCGTCCCCTGGTCTCCATGGAGGGCTCCTGTCCCTCAGGTCACCCTCACACATCACAGGTCCTTCTGTCTTTGAGCAGAATCTCAGGTCCCCTCCTGGTCACCAGCTTTAAGCCTGCCAGTTATGATGGACTTGAGTGTAGTCTCTTCATGTCCCTTGTGCTTTGGCTTCATTGAGATTCTTGGATCTCTGAGCTTATATTTTTACTAAATTTTAAAACTTTGTTTAAACATTCATTTTTCAAATACTTTTTTGCTCACTCCTCTTCCTCCTGTTCTGGAACCCCAATGACACATATATTTGGCCATTTGCAGTTCTAAGCTCACTAATGATTTATATTCTCTCCCTCTCTTTGTCTATCTCTCTGTCTGTCCATCTCCCCCCGCTTTTGGCTACACCCCACCACCAGTGCATGCCACTATCCTCCTCCTCCTCCTCCTTCTCTCCCACCTTTTTCTCTGTTTCATTTTGGATAGTTTTACTACTATATCTGCAAGTTCACGTATCCTCTTGTCTATAGTGTCTACCGTGTCCTCAACCTCATCCAGTGTCTTTTTCTAGTGGAAATTGCAGTGTCTGTCTCTACAAGGCTGTGTGGATCTCTTTTAGTTCCATGATGTCTCTCCTTTCCACCCATGCCCTCCTGGATGTGGCTATCCCCGTGCACCTGATGGAAACTCTGCCATCTGTATTATTTCTGGATGTTTCTACTGATGGGTTCTTACCTTCACTATGAATTATGTCTTTCTGCTTCTTTCCATGCCTTGTAATTTTTATTGGACAACAAACATGGTGGATTTTGGATTGCGACGTGGCTGATTTTTTTATATGCCTGTAAGTACTTTTGAGGACTGGAATAAAGTTACATTTGGGGATGTGTGGCTTCTTCTGCACTGACCATCATGCTTTTGTGGGGAGACCAGAGGAGCACTGGCGTTGTTCTGACACCTTGGCGAAGGCAACACCTTGACTGTCTCGTCTGCTTCCTGTCCGCGGAGGTTTATTGTTCCTTCCACTGCTCTGTGGTGGCCTGGGGTGGCTTCCTCACCCATGCTCTGACCCTGCCCATTAGAGGCTCGGGGACATCCCAAGGGTCTGTGTCCCCTCTCAGTGCCTGCCTGTATCCTGCCCACCTCAGCCTCCCTAGGTGTTTAGCACTGGTCCTTGCTTAGGGAGATAGCAGCTGTGCCCAGTCCCCTCCTGGACTCTCCGGGTTACGCCAGAGCTGCTGGAACTGGACTTACACAGCCTGACAGCCGTGGTCCATGTGTGTGCTGGCAGCTTGGGAGGGAGGTTGGAATCGCTCTGGGTACAGCAGAATGACATCCTAGAGGGCTCTGGCTCTGCCTGTTGCAGGGCAGTCTCCTGTGCAGTGTTTGCATGTCCCACAGGTGCTGGCCACCTGCCACACACTGTTCTGGAAGGTACTACCCTCTACCCTCCCTGCCCTGCTCTATCTGGCCATCCCCATTTGCTTTGTCTGGTCTTCCTTGGCCGCCCCCGCCCCCCGTCCACCCAGCCCATTCTTGCCTCCGCTCACCTTTGTGAATGGGGGCAGAGGAAGCAATGTTGTCCAGCAGCTCACAGGCTCCAGAGCCCTGGTGTCCACTCATCGGCCCAGTGCCTTGCTCCTGGTCTGCTCTGGTCCTGTGCTCCAGCCACACTGGCCACCTTGCTGCTGCTGTCCCTGAAAACCCTGTGTAGTGCCATCCCAGGGCCTTTGCACATGCTGTGCTCCTGCAGGTGCTCCCCACTCAGGCACCAGATTCTCACCTCCTCTGAGCCGGACTCTGCTGTTGCCTCCTCTGAGTCCTTCCTGACCTGACCCAGACCTCTTGCTCTGTCTCTCTTGCCCCTCATTCCTACCCCTTGCTCCCTGATAACACTCCTTACCTTCTACACAATGTTGTGTGGTCATCAATCTGGCATGTGGTCTCTATCCTGGCCTCAGGATGCTCTGATTCTGGAAAGGACCTGATACATGAATGAATCAGTCTCCTTGACAAAGCACATTCTGGTTCATCTGTTTGCTGTATTACACTGTATTACATTGCATCTCTCTTTCATGGACTTTAAAACATCAATGGGTGGAGCAGCATATATATATATATATATGTCTGTGTGTATATATGTGTATATATATATACGTATGTGTGTATATATATATATGTATATATATATACATATATATATATATGGTTTGTTTGTTTGTTTTGAGACAGAATCTTAGCATGTAGTTCAAGCTGGCCTTAAACTCACTATGTAGTCCAGGCTGGCCTTGAACTCATGGGGATCCTTCTGCCTCAGCTTCTGAGTGCTGAGCTTACAGGTGCACACCACCATTCCCTATATATATTTTCTTAAAACCCTTCCAGTTGCTTTGTTTAGCTTGCTAACATACTGTACCGTGTTCTCTAGATATGCGGCCACCACAAGACAAGAGCTTCCATTGAATGTAAGCACTCAAACCTGAGTTTATGTAGAGTTTGATGACAATTCTGGTGTCAGTAAATACTCCAGATCTTATACCAAACCTAGAGGCTATAGGGTTCCCAGGGAGACTTTAAGTCCCATCTAGAAACCCAGGAATGACCCCTCAAAAAAAAACTTCGGAACACAATATTCCTCCTATTCTTGAAAAACGTTAGTATATATTTGGAACTTGAAATTATCTTTATAGACTCTTATAGAAAATATCCTAAAATGAATCCAGGTAAAAGTCCTCATTAAGGTGTGTGAAGCAACACCCCTCCCTCCTGAAGCACAATTTGGAAGTCTCAGAAGCAGTGAAAACCAAAAGGCTTGGAGCTTGCTGCGGACACATTTGGTAGCGAACCCCCTTGTAAGCTGGGGTCTGGCTGCTTGCAGTCTCTGTGTCCTTTCAGTGAATCCAGTTAGCGGTTTCATTTGTTTGCACTGCGCAGCCCAGCCCTGCAGAGTGTTATACCATGTGCATTATGGCACGGGTCACCTGACACAGCCTGGGTTCCAAAATGCCCCTGACCGGTTGATTTGGTTGGGCTGTGAGGGTTTGGATACCCACTGTGCTAAGGCAGAGCCAGTGCCCCCTAAGGTCTGGTTGTGTCACTGCCATTGCTGTTTCCCCTCCAGCTTCGCCAACCTGGGCATCCTCCACGTGACAAAGAAGAAGGTCTTCGAAACCCTCGAGGCACGGATGACAGACGCGTGCATCAGGGGCTACAACCCCGGGCTCCTAGTGCATCCCGACCTCGCCTACCTGCAAGCCGAGGGGAGCGGAGGTGACCGGCAGCTCACGGGTGAGTGTCATGCCTAACTCTGACCCCATGTGAGTTACGGGCATCCCCTTCCACTCCTACCTGCTCCTGCCAGAGCCTCAAGGATACCTGCTTCCTCATGTGCCGGGCCCTGCTGCTCTGTCACAGCTCCCGAAGCCCCAGATGCAGAGTCATAGCTCTCCCAGCGCTCCTTTCCTACCTGGCTAAGCCAGCATCATTGATCCCAAGAAGGGCACAGGACTCTTCGGATGGGCACTGTCTTCAGTCACACAGATCGTGGCTGTCCCTGTGCCTGCCCCTCCCTTGCTCCTTGCACCCTGTTTCTGCTTTCACATGTGCCCTCCCGCTCCTCACACATTCCAGACGTGAGTCCAGTGGTCCCGTTTGCACTGAGCACGCCATGCCCTCACGCTCTCCTGGCATGTGCTCCAGTCCTCTGTCCCCAGCCGTGGTCTAGCCCCTGCCTGCTCTCCCCATCCTACTCACCTGTGTCCCTTGCTTTGGTTGTACTCCCATTCCCAATCCTGTCTCCACCCTGGGGCTGGGTGGACCTTCCCAAACCTGCATCTCACCCCAGCTCTGCAGCTGGCACTGCACCTCCCAGGAGCTGGCCCTGGCTGCATCTTCAGTCCATGTCCCCTAGAAGCACCCCAATTTCCCGCTCCAGGTCCCACACACTTTTCCTGTTTCTCTCTCTGGCTACAACCTCCTGCAGACCCCATGTCAGTGACCCTGGTGTCCCTTGAAGGACTCAGCACTTGAGCTGTGACCTTTTATGATGCAGAAACTCACCATGACCCTGTCCATCAGCCTGAGCAACCCCAGAAGGGCCACGGCCTGATGCGGCTGAGCCACCGAGGTTCTCCCAAGTCCTCTTCGATTCCTGTGCACAAGGGCCTGTGCCCGTGCCGTGGAGAGACATGCAGTTGTGCCCTGGGCACCTCTCACTCTTCCGATGTTGCTGGTGCACGGTGGCCACTCTGCTGGCTGCCTCACGTCCTCCTGCTTTAATAACCCTCACTGACAGGGACAGTGGGGACAGACCGGGAACAGAGGAGGCAGGCAGATACGCGGATGTAGTTTTTACCATAATCCAGAAAAATGCAGGACACTTTCCTTGGATACCTTTAATTGTGGGTGAATCAAAGGAATGATTTTTTTTTTTAAATCTTGGCAACAGTATGAAAGTTCAAAAGAACAAAAGTGGGTTTTCAAGTTGATCTCTGTTTGTGGGCTTTGTACAAACGTGCACTTAAACTCCCGCCTCCCCGCACGGCACTGCAGACCGGGAGAAGGAGCTCATCCGCCAGGCGGCCCTGCAGCAGACCAAGGAGATGGACCTGAGCGTGGTTCGGCTCATGTTCACCGCCTTCCTGCCCGACAGCACCGGCAGCTTCACCCGCCGCCTGGAGCCCGTGGTGTCCGATGCCATCTACGACAGCAGTGAGTACCTGCAGGGGCTCTGTGCCTCACAGACGGCCTCGGGCTGTCATCTGCAGAATGGGGATGTGGTGGACTAGCCCAAAGGCTCACGGATGCCCAGATCAAATACTTTAGACAGGCTCCAGAAATGTGGTTCTCTTTCCTCAGGTGAGCATTCAGGTCCTCCCTGCAACACCAAACCTCTCCCTCCTCCACACTTCACCAAGAGGAGAGGGGGTACCTTGGGCAGGAAAGGTTTCTCAGTGTTTTTCGTGGGGACCCTGCAGGGAGGTTAATGTAGGACGACTGCATTCTTACCCCCAATCCCCGTGGGATTGGCTTTACCAAGACAGGAACTTCAGTTACCTGAACATGTGGTGCAGATAGTACAGGACTTGCAAATCCTCTCTGAGGATAGTTCCTAGAGCATCCTCAGAGATTACCATAGTCTTCAGCATGTACCATGCGGCTTTCCGGGTGGTGTGCACAGCATTTATTAACCAGGTATGACCAGAAAGCCTGCATGTGTAGTATTTGGGCCCCGTAAATATTTATAGAACTTGGTGTAAGTAGATAATTCCAGGCTTTTAGTACCACAGCTAATGGATTTCTTTAATTTAAACAAGTTTAAAGGGAAGAGAAAGGTTTATAAAATGATGCTGACCCATATACAACGGGTTGCCTTGCACTGCAGCTGTTGCGGTAGAAAAAGGAAGCCTGACACTCTTACCACATGAAACTTTTACCCCTTAACCACATGGAATCCTGACTTAGTTTGGGGAAAGGAAATAAAATATCTCTGGTTTTCTTTGTACAATAAAACCTAATAAGTAGTGTAAGAATATCGTGCTTCTCCTAAATTGTTTTGGGCTCTTCTAGATGGTACAAGTTTGGGGTTAAATTCCTGACCTCATTGAAATTCCAGAAGCCCATTGGCTTGGTTCTTCCTAAAACACCTGGAAGCTCTTGCTCTCTCTGTGTCTGTCCCCCTTTTCTGGACAGAGGGAGGAACAAATGCCGTCTGCCTTGGTGATTCCGAATGGCTCTATTACTACAAGCACTCTGAGGACCTTGGGAATATTTTTGTTATATCTGTGTCCTTGCACAGGACACAGCATGTGCTTTAACTGGACCAGGGCGTGTGTGCCAAGCAGGGGGCCCCCCAGGGCTTGGGGGAGAGGCTGAGGATGAACCTGGACGTGTGTTGTTTTCCCTTTTGAACAGAGGCTCCCAATGCATCCAACTTGAAAATCGTAAGAATGGACAGGACTGCTGGATGCGTAACTGGGGGGGAGGAAATTTACCTCCTCTGTGACAAGGTGCAGAAAGGTAAGGACATTCTGATGCGACACTCAGAATTCGACGCCTGTGGTCCCTGGGTCACTTCTGGGCAGTCCATCAGTAACGCCCCTTTGCCACTGAGCACCTTCTCCAGGCGCACACTGTCTGTCATTTTGTAAAACCTAACCGTATAATTCATCTTAAATTTTGCACAGAAATAGAGAAATGTGAAAATAGTGGTAATTATCACCTGTGGTTCTATTCCTTAAACTTTGTTTTCTGCACACATTAAACTAAAATAAATGAATAGTAGCCCATGCTTGACCCCCACACACACACACAGAATTAGCTCTAAGTTGCTGATTCTGGTCATTTTGTGGTGCTTTCTTGTAGCACGGAGAGAGCGTCTCCACCTGCTTCCGTGTGTCACTGTGCCGCCAGCTGGAGAAAGGTGGAGGACTCAGAAACAGACCATGTTTCTCCTCCAGGTGGCATTTTGGGCGGAGGTTCTTGGCATTTACTCTCATTAGACCTATTAGAAGATCAACAAATTTGTGAAAACAGAGAGAGATTATTTTCTCAAACTTCACTCTTTTTAAATAAAATAATAAATGTAAAGTACAGTATAATAAAGGCCTGTCTCCTACAAAGTAGGCATTTTCAAATGAAGCAGGTACCAAACTGGAAATCACCCTTAAGTAAACGTAGTACAGCCTTAAAATAACTCAAGTGGAAGTTAAATGCTTTGAGACAGGAAGTCGGATTGTAAAGTGAATATGCGTTCTTTATCTAAACAACACTGACGATTGACACTTTCGATGCTCCCTGCCTTCCTCCTGCCCACTCCCAAGTAGTATTCATTTCCGGACTGAGTTGCCTTTGTTTACATTAATCGTCAGTTCCACCGGCCTAGCATGGAAGTTTTGTCTTTCACTTAAAGAATCTGAAAAACCAGGGCCAGGGTTGTCCTACCTACAGGCGAAGGAGTGGACCAGGAGACGATGGGTTGCTTACCTAACCTAGCACTCCTAACCGCCCCCCAGAGACGGAAATTCACACATAGTTTCATCAGCCAGTGTTGTGGTCTTTCCTGTGAAGTGGGACGTGAAGCCAGGGGGTTGCCAGCCGGAGTTACACAGTCCTGTTTCTGCAGAAGTAAAGATCAGCTGGGTCTCAAGTGAACTGACCGCCTGGGTATTTTGACTGATCACTCGCAGGGACTCAGGACAGTTTATGGGAGGCGAGGGGTAGCACATGCAAGCACTTGGGTGCCGAGACCTGGTGTCTGTGTTCAGACCTTTGTTTCTCCTTTCGCTGGCTGTCAGTCTGGGATAAGGGACTTAGGAAACTCTCTGGACCCCAGTTTCTCTTCTGCAAAATGAAGATAAGAGAACACCTACCTCCCAGGCCAGTGGGAGGGCAGAATGAGCTGGCATTTACATAGAAAGCGCTTGAGACAGCATCTGCCCTCGAGTAAGCTCGAGGCAGGCTCACTGCTGTGTAGGGGTGAGCCTCATCCGGGTTCAGATGCTCCTTGTCAGGTCTCTCAACAGTAACAAGGGCAGGTTCAGCAGTGAACGAGAGAGTTCAAATTGATCAGTTAACCCTAAGATTCTGCCACAGGAAGTGAAACTTAGGGCCTAGCCCTGTGGTGAGGGATGTTTAAAATGCAAGACTTGTATAAATCTCAAATGTTAAATCTACTATACTGAAGATTTTCAAAACATTGGAGCATCCAGTAGGGAGACCCTTGAGCCAGCCTGACTGCCCAGCATGCCCTTGCGTTCTGTCAGGCTGCGCGCAGTGATACCCCTGCTTATGACCATTTGCAGATGACATCCAGATTCGGTTCTATGAGGAGGAGGAGAACGGAGGCATTTGGGAAGGGTTTGGAGACTTCTCCCCCACCGACGTCCACAGACAAGTAAGGGGACCATCCTCGTCTGTACATTTCGCCGTGTTGAAATTCAGTACTTATTTTTTGCATATGAGAAATGAAAAACATCACGTGTTTACTTAACATCCATTAAACAATACTATTCTTAAGGCTTCTGCAGGCTAGCTAGAAATCTTTCCCACCATAGAACTGCAGGCCAGGTTCTACTGGACTGTGGACCTGAGAGGCTGGTGAGACTTTTCACTCGGGCTCTGGTCCTCTGTCTCTCGCGGTGCCTTTCCATGAAAGCGTTCTAGGTGTTCTGTCGAGCAGTTGTATCAAAACCTGTCAGACAGTATTGGTCTGGAAAGTCTGAGCTGGCTTCTTGCCAGGTGTGCTGGCACACACCTGTAATCCCAGCTCTAGAAAGGCTGAGGCAGGAGGATCACTGTGAGTTTGAGGCCAGCCTTGGCTACAAAGTGAGTTCAAGGCCAGCCTGAACTACATGGTAAAATCCTGTCTCAAACAGACAGAAAGAAAAGGAAAGAGAGAGAGAGAAAGAAAGCGCGCAAGCTTCTAGCTGATCAATCAAGACTCCCCAGTGACAGCCTCGAAAATGCTGAGCTTCCACCTTCGTCATCACTCTCCTTATGGATGATTGAGAAACAATGTTTTTATAAAACGCTGAGAACAACTCAGATGCTGGTCAGTAAGCACACAGTTCGATAAACCATGGTGTATCGAAGATACCATGCAGTTATTAAAAAGACAAGCACTCTCTGAACTAACCTGGAGGGATTGCAAAGGTACAGCATGAAGAACGTTTAAAAGATCGGTATAGAACAACATGACTGTAAAGTGATTCTTGTTCACAGAGAAACCGGATGGGGGTGAAGCAAGCTAACGACAGAGCCCATGGCGCTGGTGCTGGTGGACTCGGGCCGTGAGGGGAGAGAGCACTATCCGTGTACTCCACTCTGTGTACCTTTTTCATAGTTTATTCAATCCTGACCCCTGTGAATATGTTACATAGTAAAAGAATAAATCAAACTAAAGAACGGTGAATGGCCTAACTATCCCAGCACTACAGAGATGGAGGAGTTAGCGCCCTGAGGAGGTTCAGCTCATTTTCCTCCTCGGCTGGGAAAGCAAGTACCCTAGCTTCTCTCTGTCCACCCTCAGGCTTTGTGATGTTGCTAGAAGTGAGCTAGGCAGGTTTTGAGGCTGATGGGAAGGAGGAGAAATAAGCCTGTGCCGTGAATTCCATACATATGGTAATTACAACTGGAAGATGATTGAAATACTGGACAGAAGAAACAATGGAGAGGTCCGTGGTAATAGTGCTGTGTTTCAGTTCCGCACAGGCAATGGCACAGAAAAGTATGGGTGTGGAACACTGAGTTGCAGACATCCTTAGGGCTCTGTGTTCTTGGAGCACACTTAAGCATTGGGTACAAATTAAAATACAAAGACTATGTTTAATGTGCAGCATTCCTACCGAAACACTGCAGCCCTACACCAACATGTGGGTCTTTGTGTCCTGCAGTTTGCCATTGTCTTCAAAACTCCAAAGTATAAAGACATCAATATCACCAAACCAGCTTCTGTGTTTGTCCAGCTTCGGAGGAAGTCTGATTTGGAAACGAGCGAACCCAAGCCTTTCCTCTACTACCCTGAAATCAAAGGTAATGGTGGATTAGGCTCTTGTGCTTGTTCTGCTCAAAGGACACACTGATTAGAGGTCAGCTCATCACTTCCTGAACAGCTTCCTGGGAACTGCTCGATCAGTCGATCCATGGCCCGTATTTTTAGAGAAAAGATAGGTAATGTACTAATTTGAAGTCATGGAATTAGTCTAGCCTTTAAAAATAATGTTATCTCCGCCAAACATGTATGAGATTTAGACCCTGGAGAATTTGTCTTTGAATCTGAAAATCTAGTGTTTATGGAGTAATTCAGAGTCAGGCAGCACAGAGGAAAACCGAGGCTCACTGCTTAGGGGAAAACAGTATGTCAGGGAGCGGTGGCAGGGACCACAGTGGTGCAGCCCCGGGCGGATGGGGAGGCCTGCTGTGCTTGGAGTGCGGGCCTGGAAGCTGAGGGTTTCACACAGGTCTGAAGGGCAGGCAGGCCGCCCGCATCTCAGGTGATGGCATCTGGGTCGCGGAGGAGATGCCGAGGGCCAGGAGGCAGACAGTGGGGTCAGAGCATGATGCAGGGCCAGGTGAACAGCGTGGGCCAGGAGAGGCATCGTCCATCAGCAGTGCGGGGAGGAAGTGGGTCTGAGACCACACAGCCACGGGGTCCAGGTGGCAAGGGAGTCAGGGCCGGGATCACTTCCCAGACACACTTGGTTGCACAGAGGACAGAGGAAGAGCAGGCCAGGGGAGAGAGGAATACGATGAAAGCAGGCCATGCCATGTTTCGCTTCTGTGGGAAAGTCAAGTAGACCCCCGGGAGCCGGGCAGAGGCCAGAGCAAACTACGGGAGAGGGTGCAGCTCCGTAGCGTCTTGGGTGAGACATGGCAGGCAAAAGGTAGATCAGTACTTCAAGGTGTGTCCTGATCTGAGCCCACCACCCCAAGGAGTCCAGGACGGAACTATGCTTTGCTGTAGCTGCTGCTTCTGTGTCCGGCCTTGGGTGTTACCTGCAGCAAGCCCTGACTCTGAGGTGAAGCCCAGAGACTGCATCAGGCCTCTCCCCTCCCCACCCTCCTCTTCTGGCATGGGAAGATGCTCCAGTAAGCTGTGTGTCCTCCTGGGCCGCGACCTCCCTACAGTTGGGTCAGGTGTGAGCATGCTTCCCGCTTCACTCGCATCTCCTGGAAACCCCAGTGTGGGTGCTGGTGGGCGTAGGCAGCTGCTCAGCCCTTCCTAGTCTTTCCCACCTCCTCTCACTTCCCCTTCGAGCTGCCTGAGGTCTTGCGGTGCCTGGGCCTCACACTGAGCTACATCCGCAGCCCTTTTGAGTTTTTACTTTGAGACCGGCTCTCACTAAGTTGCCCAGGCAGGGCTCCTGCTTGTAATGCCCCTACCTCTGCCTGCCAGAATGCTGGGATGGCAGGCATGCACCACCACGCCCAGCTGTGATTCATATTTCTGCAGTGAACCAAGATTCTATGTGAGAACAGCTGTCATATGAGTAATGAAGCCAGCTATGATTAGCGATGATATAACTGATGGGGAAATGTACATCTGGTCACCCCCGCAGTCCTCTCTCCAGGCTCAGCCTGACCCACGCAAGCCCAGCATCAGAAACAAAACAGGATCTTTCTGACAGAAAGTGAAGCGTCAGAAATAGGACAGTTGTTAAGTACTGGGCCCCTGACTGAAAAAAGAATGCCACGTTGACTGTTGAATGTAAACAAAAAACTCCTTCACCCAGAAAAGGAAAGGAAAAAAAATGAAATGTAGGGTAGGAAAATCTCAGACAAGAAAGAAAGGGAAAAGGAAGAAGCAGGGATGCGCAGCAGACCACAGAGGCAGTGGCAGAACTCAGACGGGCATGGGGCCCCAGATCCATCTCTTCAAGTGTCTGGGGTCCACAAGTCTCCATTGCGGTGACCGTTACAGACCACATGGCCAGTGCCAACCGTCAGCACTCTCCTGCCCTACACCGACTCAGCAGGTCCTGACCATAGGTGGCCAGCTGCACATGCCACTCCCGTGTCCGGGACAATCAGGAGCTCCTGGTGGAGCACTGAAGTCACGTGCTCCCTAGGGTGGCCCCAGGACTTCTCCACACTCACCTTCACTTTGCCCGCACGATCTCTGCTGAGCTCATCCACCCCAGGCGCCTCCGCTTCCTGTCATCTTCCCTGTCTGTGAACTGGTACCACACCAAGCTCCTCTCTCCTCCACTACTGTTTGCTGCCGACACCTTCTGCTATGGTGCTGCTGGTCCATGAATCGGCACACTACCTTTACCCTGCTACCATGACAACCATCCTGCCGGGCTCCCCAGCACCTGTCCTCACCTGTGACACTGTGTCGTGATTCTTTGTTCCTGGCATATAGCTCCCTGTGGATGCATAGGAAGTGTCAGCTCCGTAGGAAAAGGGGTTTTGTGTGCCCAAGTATCAATAACCCTTTCTATCCCATGTCTCTGCGGTCTTGATCTGTGGTGGCAGCCTGACCTCAAGCTTTCTCCATCTGCCTTGGGCCTGCGGAATGCTGCGGCCTTAGATCAGAATTGGAGTAAATATGGCCTCTGTTCCTCCTTGAGTGCTTTATCCTTCCCTTTGAGACGTAAAATACCCTGAGAATTCATATCCTGTGTGTGGCACCTACTGGAACCGAATCGGTCTTTCCTCACGTTTCCCTTTCTGTGCACACAGACAAAGAGGAAGTGCAGAGGAAGCGGCAGAAGCTGATGCCCAACTTCTCGGACAGCTTTGGCGGCGGCGGAGGCAGTGCAGGCGCGGGAGGTGGGGGCATGTTTGGCGGTGGCGGCGGAGCAGGAGGCACTGGCAGCGCTGGACCAGGTACCCAGAGAGGCTGTGCCCCTCCGAGCATTTCCAGGGTGGGCAGGGCACCATTCTCCTGCCTGGGGCTTCCAGGCACATCTGTGGGTGCAGTGGCTTCGATATCATTAAATGTGAGGTCTGGAGGTCTCACCAGGCGTGATGACACATGCCTGTAATGCCAGCACTCAGGAGGCTGAGGCACAAGGATTGCTGCAAGTTTGAGGCCAACTTGGGCTACACAGTGAGTTCAAGGCCAGCCTGAACTGCATAGTGAGACCCTGTCTCAAAAACAAACAAAAAGAGTTTCAAATTAATTTAGACCTCCCTACACATGTACCTTTGATTTTTGAAGACATGTGTGTTCATTTTACAGCACAGTACCCACCGCTCTCCACAGTTTCACTTTTGGTGGCTTCAGTTACCTGTGGTCAACTTCAGTCTAAAAATACCAGTAGTTGCCTTGACTCCTTAGAGAGAGACCACAGCCGCAGAAGTCTTGTCACAGTATATTGTTATAATTGTTCTGTTTTACTATTAGTTAGATCTCTCACTGTGCCTCATTTACAAAATAAGCTTTATTGTAGGAGCGTGTGTACACTATAGGAAAAGAAGCAGAGCATGCAGAGTGCGGCCTGCTCATGGTTCCGGGTATCCCCAGAGGTCTTGGGACCCCGGCCTGTGGGGGAGGAGGGGATACAGATGAAGGAGAGGACAAGCCACCCAAGGCCTGTTATCCAAGAAGCACTTCTCTAAATGTTTTGGTATAGCTAAGCATGGTAGTGCACACCTGTAATCCCAGCACTCGGGAGGCTGAGGCAGAAGGATTGCTGCAAATTTAAGGACAGCCTGGGCTACACAGTGAGACCCTACCTCTAAATAAATAAATAAATTGGTTTATTTCCCCTCTGCTTTTTTGGAGGGGCAGTTTTCTTGCTATTCTTAGGAAATATTGAAAAGATACAAACACACACACAAACACACACCTCTACATTACACTAGTCTGCAGCATCTATGTACTTCCTTGGATACAGAAAATTTGAAAACATCAAGTCCTGCCATCAGAGGTAAACTGTTTCTCATTTTTATGCACTCATCACAGTATTTACAAATTTCTCCTGAGCACAGCTATGATGGTCGTGTGCATTATCTTCGCCCACTCCTCCACGTTAGCGGCTGCCCCTGCCCTGTGATGTGTGCCTGGTCCTGTGTGCCGCTCCCCTCGAGTGAGTGTGCAGACTTCGCCCAGGGGTGATTTACCAGCACCATTTTAATGACTCGCAGTATTTCATCAAAAGGGCAAACCGTAGTCTGGCTGATCTGAGAGCAGCTTCCTGTCTCCCGCCTACAGGGCATCCTTCTCTGCTGTCCACGCAGCCTCTCCTTTATTCCAGGTTACTTTCAGTTGGACTGTCCAAGCAAAATGGCCATGCCTGGGGGTAGCACATCCAGTGCTGGCTGCATCCCCAAAGACCATCCCCAGTCACCCCCTCACCTAAGACGTGTGAGGACAACCCTGGTGGCCACTCTTCCGTGGGCATCACTGTGGATTCCTGTGTCACCTTGGTTTTCCTCCTGCAGGGTGATTTTCTCTCTTGTCCTCAGGCAAAGCTGAGTCAGGGTGCATCTACCCATGAGCCCCACCCCTTGGCCTGGGGGGTACCCAGAGACCTCAGCTCCAGCTTCCCGGCTGCTGGGCTTGGGCACCACCTGACTTGCCTCTGTTTAGCTCTGCTAGTGTGGACCTCTGGTCATTGTGGGTCCCCTCAGTGTTTTTCCCTAACTCGCGGCCAGAGGGGGACCAGCACTAGGGTCTGCCAGACCTTGGCTTGAAGTCACCCTCTGCCCATTTATTTTCCTTGCCGTTGCAGGGTACGGCTTCCCACACTACGGGTTCCCAACCTACGGTGGGATCACCTTCCATCCCGGAACCACCAAGTCCAACGCTGGCATGAAGCATGGTAACACTTTTTTATACCAGGGACTCTTACATGATTTGACTGCCATCTTTTCTTCTCTCTAAGATTTGGCTTTGTTTTTCATCCTGCAGTCAGGCCACACTTCGTTCCTTAAAATCGAGCACAGCTCCCTCTGCAGTCCCCGTGGCTGCTAAGAGAATGTGGTGTCCTCCACACACACTTGCTAAAGTCAGTGGCAGAATCGGGTTGTGAACTTGGTCTGCCCACAAACCCTAGGTGCTCTGGGGAACCTGTCAGACAACATAGTCGGACTGCAAATGGTCAGCAGACTGAAGAATGCGTGTCCAAGAATGCAAATTGAGACTGTGTCTCTACACCTTGCCTTGGTCGTTAGCATGAGGAAAAAAATCACTGCTCCGCTTTCAAGAATTTTAAAAATTTCACTTCCCTATAATACACAGAAGAGTTTTATTTCATTTTCCTCTTTCACAGATAAATGAAATGACACCTGAATTTTAGAAGTATAGTTTAAAAATATAGGGGCTGGGGATTTAGCTCAGCGGCAAAAGCGCCTGCCTGGCAAGCGCAAGGTCGTGAGTTCGGTTCCCGGTACCAGAGAAAAAAAACAAAAAAAATAAATAAATAAATAAAAATATAAAGAGGTGCTGGGTGTGGTGGCACACACTTGTAATTCTAGCACTCAGGAGGCTGAGGCAGGAGGATTGTTGTGAGTTCGAGGCCAGCCTGGACTGCATAGTGAGATCCTGTCTCAAAAAATAGAATAAAATAAGTGAGTATTTAAAATAGCCCCTAGCCAGGCATGGTGGCACATGCCTGTAATCCCGGCATTTGGGAGGCTGAGACAGGAGGATCACCATGAGTTCAAGGCCAGCTTGAACTACATAGTAAGACCCTGTCTCAAAAAAAAACAAAAACTAAATACATAAATAAATAAGCCCCAAAGGATGTTAGTTCTGACATGAAATTTTTCAGAATTACTTTAAGTTAGTGCTTTTACTTTCCCTCTCCAGTACACTTTCCTCTTGCCCTTAGTGACCTACTTGAAACAGCGAATTTTAACTTAGACTTGATGAGAAGCAGCTGTGTTTTGCATTTCCCACAGGAACCATAAACACTGAGTGTAATCAGGACCCGGAAGGCTGTGATGCGGGTGAACACGGGGAAATGATTACAACCACAGAAGCAGGGAAGAAGCCGGACAAGTCCAGCTCTGGGAAGGACGGGGTGCCCCTGACACACGCCCTGGGAGGAGAGGACAAGGATGTGGTGTTACAGAGTGGTGAGTCCGTCGGTGTGCTGCACTGGGGGGCAGAGAGGGCCCGTCCCACCCACGGAAGCTGTGTCCAGAGGGCAGGTTTCCCTTCCGTCCACCCTCTGTTCTGGGCCCAGTCACTCCTCGCGTGGGGACCCCACTACCTTTGCAGCAATTTCTGTGATCCACGTGTGCGTTCTGAGTCACAAGCAAGCGTCCGGGTTTCATGAGAGGCGTCGGCGCCTTGCCAGACACAGATGACAGGGAGCAATGTCCACGTCCCGGGCCACCGTCTCTAGCATGGAGCTTAGTGGTCATGCGGTGGTGGACGCTGCCGGCAGGTGGAGCTTTGCTTCCTTTCCAAGAGGCAGGGCGGGGTGGGAAAGCGGCGCTTGTGGAGTCGCCACTTGTGTGTGGCACAGTTGCGTCGTCTTCGATGTTCTCTCAGGTTCCTTCTACAGGCAGAGACTCCATAGCCACTTAGACTCCATAGCCACATGCAGTCTCTACCGTGTGTGCTTCAACCCCTCTCCCCCACCCCCTGACCATGCACCGACCACGCTCAGCCAGGAAGCACAGAACCACTGGTTGTGCGTGGTCTGTTGGAACATCACAGTGCCCCATTCCGACCTGAAGGACCAGACTTTACCAGAACACCAAATGACTGACTGAAAGTTATCTGCCTGTGACAGGGAGGTGTGTTTTATGACACACTGGCTAACCAGATAGTTGTTAAGGATTCTGGTGAGGAGTGATTCACCAAGAGATCAGTTATGTAAAATCATGGCACTGTCTAGTTATCACTCACTGGAGATTGATTGTTCCCTTTACAACAATGGACAGTGATCCATTTCTGAATTTCCCCTTGCTAAGCACAGACAGGCTTTTTAAAATCAGTCCCTAGCGCTGACTGCCAGTGAGCCAGTGTTCGTTGTGCCGCTTCTGGGCAACACGAAGCGGAGCCCCAGGAGGAGCCCCACACCAGCAAGGATGTCGTTTTCAGGACGCAAGCTCTGCCCCAGGTGTGGGGACCACCGTCACAGTGACAGTGGTCCCTACCTTGCAGACAACTTATTCCTGGAGAAAGCCCTGCAGCTCGCCAAGCGCCACGCCAACGCCCTCTTCGACTATGCAGTCACGGGGGACGTGAAGATGCTGCTGGCCGTCCAGCGCCATCTCACGGCGGTGCAGGACGAGAACGGCGACAGGTAAGCTGAGCTTCCAGGTGGTGAGGGTCTTCCCAGGGTTGGGGAACGCGGGGAATATTGTAGAAGTGATTGGTAAATATGGCGAATGTTTACGTAAAAGAGATGTTGCTAGGAATCTCCCTCGGAATACTCCTGTCACTTCACATATGCTCATCTGTCATCCTTGTCACTTTCTGAAGCAGCTCTGGAGTTCTCGTCCCTGAGTGTGTTTAATTGTGCTGTGGTGGGTGCCTCGTTGTCCTCCTGAATCCATTCAAAAGTTTCTCTTTTGTGGTCATTTTGACTTTGGGAAAGGGCCAGAAGTCACACAGCGCCAGATCGGGTGAATAAAGTGGATGAGAACACAGCATCATGTCTTTATGAGCCTGCCTTTGTGTTCAGTGGTGCCCAGCGGCACTCACCAGATTTTTGATCACATCCATTCTCTGTTAGGGTCACGGGACGGGCTGCAACCCTGATGCAGGTCTGACACCCCCATGCCACACCCCATTCCTGCAAGCGCACCACAGAGCCACCTGCCTCCTTTCTAAAACGGTTCTCTTCATCCTTTCATTGTGACTTCTAAAGCCATCTCAAAGGCCTATAAAAATAACAAGGGACGGGAGCCTTCAGATTCCAGGCTTATCTACAACCTTCCAAAAATAGCACGCACAAAGCGCAGGCCTTTTTTGTGGCTGAGCTCCTGGTGCTATCTTCTAAGTTAAAAACAGAAGCCTGCTCTGTAGAAAGGGCCGGCCTGGGGATTCGAGCAGAGACCTTTGTTCTCCATCCTCACAGCATAACTGAGGACGTGGTGAGACCACTGGTCTCATGCAGGTGCCACAAACAGCAGAAGGTACATTTAGGGCTAAAGAATCCAGGCGGCGATCTATAGCATCTGACCACAAGGGACAGCAGTTAACCCAGAGGGACAGCAGCATTTCCAGTGACAGTTCTAGGCCCTGTGGAGTTGATGCATCCCAGGAAGATGGGCACGCAGACATTAGCAGTGTGCCGATGTCCGGGGGACCCAGGCATATGGCTCCCATGGGTACAAGGAGAGGGAAGCACATCCAGGCAGGACCTGGACACCTCAACAGGCTTACAGGGGCCTTCCTGCCTCCTCAAAGGGCCATGGACACATGCACACAGGCACTCAGAGAGGCCAGAGGGATGCACTTGGGGAGCCCAGTGAGTGGTTCTCCTGAGAGTGTAGAGAAGGGATGGCTTCAGGCTAGTGTTGCCTCTGGGTGACAATCTGAATTCTGTGGTCATTGGTCATGTAGAAAACAAAATAAGAAAGCACGCCAAGTCTCCGGGTTCGAGAAGTTCCCCGAGGACATGAACATCAGGGAAGGTGGGAAGCCTCTACTAGGAGATGCTTGCTGCTTAAAGAAGTTTTCAGGTGCTCTGAAGTCTGACCTCCATCTTGATCGCACACCTCATGTCCGTGTCAGATGTCAGGCTGCTTAGGGGTCACCTCCCAGTGTCCTGATTCACAAGGCAGAAATGAAACCCTGAAGCTGCTCTTCTGAAAATGCTCCAAGCAGTGAAATCACAGTTCCTTCTGAGACCCACCTGCACGAGGGGTCCTTGTCTACTGAGGTGCAGAGTGGGCAGCTGTGTTCCTCTTGCACGATGGTCAGGGTGAGCATGGCCCAACCCCATGTCATCTCTGCTCAGGAGCAGTACCCTGACGAGTCAGGTTATACCTCGGCTCCTTCCATCAAACACACGTGAGGACAGGGTTCCCTGCCTTCTAGGGTCATAGGATAACTTGTGTCAAATGTTTAGCATGATCTAGTAACTAGAAGCGCTCAGTAGTCACCCCTTTAGTGATGATTGAGTTGTTTCAAGTTAATAATAAGTGCTCATAGCAGGAGGGACTGGAGGGACAACCCAGCATTTCTGAGCTCAGTATCATTGCGCCCCAACTCCTGTCATCACATTGTCCTCCCTGGCAGCTATGGAGAGCTCAGTCCCACAGTTCACTGGCAGGGGCAGGGACAGAGGGGACAGCATCCCTCTGGTGCTGGGAGTCCTGGGGAGCACTCTGGGGGTGGATGGTGTGAACTGATCGCAGGATCAAGTAGCCACCCAGGAGGATGGGAGCAGCCTTCCAGAGGCACATGGGACGGGCAGCGTGGCTGCTCCCAGAGCACTGCTTCTGAGTGCTCCCCTCCTCAGAACCAGAAAGATCTCTCAGAAGCACGGCACTGTGATTTGGAGGAGGGCCAGGGAGCTACTTCTTCCTAAGTGGTTCCTGGTGCAGACTTTCACTCTGCGCACACCAGCTGTATGTCAGGAAGGTCGGGGAACAGGAGAAAGCACCTCTGAGACAGGAGCAGAGGTGGTGCTGGGACTCAAGTGTGGGTCCTCTGGCCCTTACAGCTCCAGGGACCAGGCGTGGACCCTCCCCTGCGCCCGCCCCCCCCCCCATGCATGGGCTCACCTCTGAGGACATTTCACATGTTCAGAATATCAGAATACATCCAGGCCGGAGTTAGACCGGGGATACAAGAGCCAGGCTCAGTCTTGGAGTCTGATCATTTGTTGAGAATTTCTTTCTTGATCCATGAACACCCTAGTGAGTTTTCTGTGCTGTTTCCATTCTAGCGTCTTACACCTCGCTGTCATCCACCTCCATGCCCAGCTCGTGAGGGATCTGTTGCAGGTGACCTCAGGTCTGATTTCTGAGGACATCATCAACATGAGAAATGATCTCTACCAGGTAAGCAGAAATCTGAAGGAGAAAAATCCATAAAAACTCATGGTTTGGTTTTGGTGTGTGTGCTGCGGTGTCAGCAGTGTTAACGGTAGCAAAAACACCACCAGACCTCACTGTAGGCGGCATCCAAAAGGCTGCTGGATGGAAACATTATGTTATGGGTCAGGACCCAAGTCACTGGACACTGAAATTGAACACCTTGAAGTTGTATTGTAGAGGGAGAACCTAGAATTAAAATGTCACATCTGTTGAGAAAAATAAAGTTGAAAAAAAATTAATTTGAGAAGCCCTCCTTTATCAGAATTTTGAGGTCTCCTGAAATGTACTTCAAACCCCAACATCCAGTATCTATCAAATAAAGGGGATGAAATCAGAACATGGTATCAAACACTGGGTTAAATAACCCTAAGTTATTGCAGGATGATCAGGCCCGCAATCTCCCAAGCGAGTGGACGTCGAAGGCTTAAATAAATGAGACAATGTAATGATTTCAGGGCACCAGGAGGGACTAACTCTCCTTCAGCTTCAGTATTCTCTGAGTTAGCCAAAGACTCCTCTGGGCGGTCCGTATTTATTTGGTTTTCAAACGAAGGAGGAGGATACTCAAGAAAACGCGGGAATCTTGCAGGACCTTGGGAGAATTTTCCCAAGTAGTAAATATGTCAGTCAGGAGAACTACTTTATCTTTAGGTTAGTATTTATTGTAGGAGTGTGGGGCCTGCAGCTGCAGTTTCCTTGTAGTAATTAGGGCTGGAGCCAAAGTCTTCAGCTGTGGCCTTATCTTGTCAGACAAACTGACTAAGCTTCAGACAACTCACAAGTAAACACGGAAAGCCAATTGGTTAATATTAAATCCTGCTCAGAGCCACTTTGTAGTGGTCCCAACAACATGGAGACAGCTCCCTGAGGAAAGCTGGGTACCAGAGCTTTGACCACATCAGGCTGAAGCAGAAATGATGTGCGAGTCCTGCACAGTGCAGAGAGGAGTTAACGGGGACTCCCAGCATCTGCCTGGGAGCTCGTGCGAGATTTGGGGGTGAGGCAAAGGCTGAAACTTCTTGGCAGAACGGAAGCCAGGGTGCAGTGTATCCTGCACAAGTCCTCTGTCCTTTATTACTTCTTATCTTTTCTATCATCTCATTGTAGCCATCTCCCATGCCTGGGAGGTTGGTGTGCGGGGACCCGATTCGGGTGCACAACGTGTCTCTCCAAAAGTATGGCCAACGATCACGTATTGTTACTTAACAAATGATCTTTACTTAGTAAAGATATCAGTTTCAGCTCTTGATTTTTAGTTTTTTCTGTCTTTCGGGGTGCTGGAGAGGGAACCCAGAGCCTTGAGTATGGTGAGCACAGATTCTGACACCCAGCTGCACCCCTGGCCCACCCCATTCTCAATATTTTACAGCAAGTGATATGGATCATTTTTCTTCTCTTACATGAAAGAATAAATTTTAATTTTTTTAAAGAAAATTAAATCTTAATTTATTTTCGCTTTAAGAGAAATTATTAAATTATCTTCCGTATTTTTATTTCTACATTTTAAAATGTGCTTTAAAAGCCCATGATGTTGCTGTGTAGCTCTCAGTGGATTTCTCCTGGGACTAGGTGTTTCCTTGTAGGGAAGATAACTTTCCCACTAAAGGCCAGACAGCAGCCAGCTTCTCCAGCTGTTTGCTTCACAGCAAGGGAAAATAAGGTTGGGGACTTTTCACTGACTCACGAAACAACTGTGATGAAGCCTGATTTTATATTTACATTTAAGGGATTCTCTTCTTTCAACCTTCATGCCATTTGGGGGCCTGTGGTATTTGGGAAGTCACTTGGCTCATAAAGCTTGATTCGCTCAGATTCCTAGACTGTTTTTTTAAACTGTCACAAGTATGTAAATAAAACCAGGACCAGGATTCATGGCTTCTCAGGCCTCCTTCCAAAGACTACCCTTCTGCACAGCCTGAGGTCCCATTCAAGGAAGTGATCGTTTTTCTGTGTATAATCAGAACCTGCAAAGGACCCAGCTCTACAGGATGAGCAGCTGCAGCTCATTCAGTGCAGAAGTCCTCTCCGTATCATTGGATTAGATGTATGGAGGCTCCAGGGTGCTAGAGTGAAGGCCAAAACCGCCCCTGTGGCCACTTCATCCTTCTGATTTGGGGACCTTAGGCAGAACACAGCTCCCTTATTCCAGCTCACATCTCTCTGGTTCCTGGCAAGGACTCTGGATTCCCTGGGATATCTTCTCAGACATGCGCATATGCTTGTACACACACACACACACACACATAAACCCAGTGACAACTTTGACTTGAGAACTAGGAACCACTACGACTGGGACTCTTTCTCTGTTTTGAAGGGTGTCTGATGGTATCATTCTTGGCTGGAGCATATACAGTTCTCTAAGTCATGCGGATTATTTGGCAGTTATCTTAAACATCCTCCCCCAAATACCTTCCACTAATCTTAGCACATTTCTGTGGCCATCTGTCGTGATCAAATCCCTCTCCCACCCACCCTAGAGACATGCTCAAAATAGTCCACATGCAGAGTTAGGGTTTTTGAAAATTTTCTCTCTAAACCATATATTCTCTTTCCTCTCACCCCACCTCCCCTCCACATGAACAACCACCCAGGGTATCTGATTTGAACCGTTTGGTGTGATGTTCCCACCAAACATGATCAGGTGGTTTGGGTGCATGTGTTTTTATGTTTTTAATGACTATAAATACACCAACATCTGTGGCTTTTAAAATAGTACAAAAGGCGACCTATCGGGAAGCCAGAGTGGCTCTCTCTGCAGGACACAAGTCCTTTCCCCCTATGCAAACATAGAATTCCTGTGTCTGCAGGGGCGAGATTTCTGTAGGTATTGGCTAAATACACTTGTGCATGGACTTAATTCCCAGTGCTGCACACTTGGCCTGCTTCTGCCTTCCCACCTTAGTGCTCAGCCCTGCAGAGAACAGCCATGCCCAGGTCCTCCCGCACCCCAGCTTCACGTTAGAAGCTCACTCAGTGTTCCATGCAGTAACGTCCAACACAGGCTCTGGGAGAAGGTCTGCCCAGGGCTCGCGCCCACAGACATAGCACACAGGCTGCTCAAGCCCGACTGTGTCACCTTCTAGGTGCAGCACGGGGGATCAACGCTAGATGTCTAAATGCCATAGAAAGCCTTGGTGGCACTATGAAAAAAAACTAAGAGCAAAACTTACTCATGCTAAGAGATTTTTGTATGATGTGAATAAAATGGTATAGAACTAAAGGTAATTTTTAATTTCTGAGCAGTGTAGTATTTTATAACTTCTGGTCTTTCTTACAGTCTTATTCACGCTCCATTTCCTGTTTTGTATAGCATTTCAGAAAACACAGATTAGCAAACAGCCTTTGATGACAGATTTGTTTTTAAGAGGAAAGTTCTTGGCAATAACACCAAAAGTTTTGAGGACATGATTCCATCCCAAGCCACAACTATAGTCCCAGAGAGAGATAAAGAAGAGTTATTGGGGGGCAAGGAGGGGGACATCCTGTTCCTGCTGTATTAAATGATCTCCGTCACTCAGATTTAGGTGGCTGGGCATTATTCACCCTCCCAGTTCCGTGCACCATGGTACCTACATCAGTGAGGACACTGGTGGCCACTGCTGCTTTGGGCAGCCACTACTCATGAAAGGGACTTCGGCAGGTAGTCACTGGATGGGCTGGATTGCAGAGCTATGCTCCTGGGAAGCAGACTGATTTGCATGAAGAATACTGCTGTCCTCTCTCAGTGACCTCCGTTCTTTGAAAGATACCTTCATGGTTGTGTTTGTCTTGCTCAGTTTTGAAAACACACAGTTTGCAAATCATCTCTCTGGCAGTCGCAGAAGCTTTCATCACATGAACATTTTGCTCATTAAGTGCCAGCAAAGTTCATCTGAGTGGCCTTGTCCTGGTTATGCTGTGTAGAGAACCGTGTAACAACACCTTTTGTGAAACGGTGGTAGTAGGGGAGTTATAATGATTGGTCTCATGATGCCGGCCCCTAGAACATTCTTTTTAACTTAGTAAGCTTATTTTCTGGGTCAGTAGAGAATGCTGGCACCTTTGTGAATGGTTTCTGCTGGGTTTACTTAAATTCCTTCATCAAACCATATCCTGATTTAATTTACTAATGTGATCAGCCAAAGCTAGACACCCAAGAAAACTCAATTTAGCACTGGATGAGTTAAAAAACATCATGGCCAATGTATCGAGAAGTGTACCTTTTTTTTTTTTTTTTTTTTTAGTGTACCTTGATTTAGTATAATTGTTTTATATTTTTTGGTCTGGCTGTTAATCTGTATTTATAACTAATTTGATAAAGACTTCAAAATAAATCAACTAATTTGATGCTGGCAGAAAAGAAAAAGAAATATCAACAGTCAGTCTGTGATAGAAATCAAACATTTAGAAGCTGTCCTCTGAGCCTTATAATTGAGAGACTATATGTTTCTCCAGTCCTAATGCTTCAGCAGCCAGTGAGAGGAAGCAGGAGCCCCCTTGCAGAAGTTGAGGGCCCTCGGGACAGGAGATGGCCAGGCAGTGAGGCTGCACCCAGAATGGCCCAGCCACACACAACGCCGGTTCTCCCACCCTTCATCCACACAGACGCCCTTGCACTTGGCGGTGATCACGAAGCAGGAGGACGTGGTAGAGGACCTGCTGCAGGCTGGAGCCGACCTGAACCTGCTGGACCGCCTGGGCAACTCTGTGCTGCACCTCGCTGCCAAAGAGGGGCAGGACAAAATCCTCAGCGTCCTGCTCAAGCACCGGAAGGCAGCGCTGCTGATGGACCAGCCCAATAGGGAAGGTAGGAGGCCGGCCACAGGTGCAGCCTGCTCTACTCGGTTTCTGAGCCATGGCTCAGTGTTGGCCTTTGCACCTCACATGATTTTCACCCAGAGTTGTCTCCTTAGTCACCTGGAGTTGGCCGTGTCTTGTGGGTGTCCTGTTTCTTACCATATCACTTTGCCTTCACGGTGGTTTGGGACGGTTACTCAGGAAGGCAAGTGGAGACCCGTGCCTGGAGACCCACGCGTGATGCCCTGTGCTCGGTTGCAGGTCTCAACGCCATCCACATTGCCGTGACAAGCAATAGTCTTCCGTGCCTGCTGCTGCTGGTGGCCGCAGGTGCCGATGTCAATGCCCAGGAACAGAAGTCGGGACGCACGGCACTACACCTGGCAGTGGAGCAGGATAACGTGTCCCTGGCAGGCTGCCTGCTGCTTGAGGTGAGCGGTTCAGCTGCCTAGGTGCTAGGGCAAATCCTGGGTGGTAGCTTTAACTGGGTTTAACACTTCAGCTTTGGGCTTCGGTCCACAGCTCGTGTGTCCCCTTCCCTGCTCAGCCACTGTCCCTGAGACGTCTGCACCCCGGGGCCGGGGTCATGCAGACTGGGAGGAGGGGACAAGGAGAGCGACCCGCTGAGCCTCTTGTGTGGCGGGTCTAGGGTGAAGCCCACGTGGACAGCACCACCTATGACGGGACCACACCGCTGCATATCGCAGCTGGGCGAGGCTCCACCAGGCTGGCTGCGCTGCTCAAGGCTGCAGGTAAGGGGCTGTGGTCTCGGTGGACAGTGCAGCCACCGGGGCAACCCGGCTGTGGGAGAGCGGTGGGTGCTAATGGCTTGGGTAGATGACGTCATATGGCCTGCCCTGCTGAGTTGCCACCTGGACGCACAATCCTGCTTCACCACCACGGTCACATTAGCTTCCACTCTGATTCTCCTGTTTGCTTCTGGTTTGGGCTGCTTCACACAACTCCCAGAGGAAATTCTTCAAGCAGTGTTCAGTTCCACGTAGAATTCTGCATGTCTCTGCCTGCATCATGGTCCCCAGGGGAGCAAATCACTGGTGTAGACACATCTCTGGGACAGAACAGACAGCCCTGGCCAGGGAGTCACTGAGCTTGGTTCTGCCATCCCTGCACCTCCGACCTGTGTGCTGGAACCTCCAGGGTTCTCCCCGTGTTTCCCACTGTGCTCAGGGCCACAGGTGTCTTCAAGTTGGTCTCTGTCATGTGGGCGTGGAAGGCTGCTCTGCCGACCTCTGAGTCCCTGCAGCTTTGGCTGCACAGAACCTTCACACTCTGACTCACTGATTTTGTTTTAAAGTTTTTAGAAGGTGAGTGCTTCATAAATCCAAGAAATCTGGGCAGAGCAAGGCACCATCTCAAACATGCAAGAGCTCTTTCCCTTAAGGGGACCCTATTTTTCTGACCTGTAGAGTTAGACTCCAGATCAGCAGCAGCCTTTTCTTTGCTTCTCTGTCAAATTCAACTTTTCTTGGCTGGGAGGTCCTGGTCTCAGCACACCTGAACCATTGTGGAAGTCTCTAGTTACTCTGAAGAAACATCCTCAGACTGCAAGCTGTAACCCTTCCATAAAGGTATTCCCCTGTCAGGCGTGGTGCCACACACATGAAAGCTAGAGCACTCTTGGCAGAGGCAGGAAAAGTGTCATAAGTTCAAGGCCGGCTTGGGATACATAGAGACACCCAGTCTCAAGAAACCACAAGACTTCAGACTGGCAGAGACAACATGGCTGAATAGAGAAAGTACCTCCTTCAGAGCTACTCAGAGAAATTCAACTAAAACACACGTAATTGGAAGAAAGGGGAGGGACATACACCCTGAAACTAAAATCAGTCTGACATAAGAGATGAATAGATCAAACTAAACAAAGATAAAAGACTTAATAAAATGGCTGGCCAGCCTACTTGACTGCTGGTGGGTTCTCGGATCAGGATGACTGCCTGCCATACTTGGAATCTTGACAAAGAAGAAAAAGGATATATTAAAGTAATGTGGTAAATCAAGCCATACAGGATAGACTTGGGATACAAGGTCCCCTGCCTGTTCTGCCTTCCTCCAAACATGCAACTCTATAGCCTAGCAGTAAATTCTGCTGGCAGAAACTGCTCTCTCCCTGACAGTTTTCAGCCAGTTTTCCTTTTTTTTTTTTTTTTTTTTTTTTTGGTCTTTTTCTTTCCCTTTTTCCTTTTTTCTCTTTTCTTTTCCTTTTCTTTCTTCTTTTCTTCCCATTCCTTGTGTGCACCAGAGTGCTAACTGGAACCACCAGGAACAAGATTAAAGACTACAGGGGTGCATAGTAAATGGAACAGCTAACCCCTGCCCTATGGCTTGTGGTTAGAGAGGCACAGGAATTAAACAGCCCTGCACCTCAGGACTGTGGAGCTCTAGGCTGTCACCATGCTGCTGGGAGCAGGAGCAGAAAGGCACCCCAAAACACCCCCATCTCACCCAAGGAAGTTACAGACTACAGCAGAAGCAGGTGACAGTGGCAGCAGAACTTGTAAAGCATTGAATGAGAAGTTAGCACCCCACCTCAGGAGAGGAATAAGAATTGGGACTGAGCAGACTTGGACTGCAATACCAGGAGCAGAGGACCAGACCATATCTCAGCATCCAACCCCATGTCCAACAAATAACCTGAGAGGACAGAGATCTGCCAGTTGAAAAGGAACACAGAAGGCTGAGCAAGGACCAGGAGGAGCCAATGGTCCACAGGACTGGGAACAGCCCCATCTCTGTCTCAAAACAGCACAGCAACTGGGAGAGAGATGCTGCTAAGAGAAATAGGGTAAGGCATGGGAGGCCATAAGGGACATATAGGAAGTCTGTCCCCATAAGGGACATATAGGCTGAAGACTGTGGCCCCAGTCCCCCACATCTGGAGGTTAGGATCAGCCTCAAATCCAGCACAAACTGTACTGCAGGCTAGGCAATATTATCCAGGTAGTTTTGGGCCCTCAGTGGACACTAGAGGAATTTTTTAAAATTTTATTTTCTTTTTCTTTTTTTTGCTAGTTTGTGGTTTGTTTCCTTTTCTTTTTTTTTTTTTTGTCTTTATCTATATTTTTGTTCTAATCTATTTGTCTTATTTCCCCCTTTTCTCAATTTACCTCTCTAGACTTAATCATATTTTCATGAGTGAATAGTCTCTCATTTTTCTGGTCAACTTCAATAATCCCTTGCTTACTCCTTCATTCTTTCTCTTCTGCCCTCTTCTCTAGTTTCCCAAACCTTGCATGATTATTCTTTGTCCTCCAGCCTGTCTTCTACTTTATTTCTTTTCAGTTATCTCTCTTTATCCACTGACCTTCTTAGATTTCCCCACCACAAGGTAAAACCACTCTACCAAGGGGAAACACTTTCCATACAAGCTCCCAATTTACGATTGGTTCTATTACATAACTGTAGATTTTGTGTCTATGGTTAAAGATACAAAATTAATAGTTACCACAGTTTGTCAGTTTCTAAAGTGTTCTTGATGCTATTGTCAGGGCTAATTATACTACTTTAGCTAGGATGCCATATCTGCTTTAATCAGTTGTTCTCACTTCGGTAACAATACTGGGAAGTTCTGGGGTAATAATCTCACCCCATCCCAGCACTACAGGACTGGGAACTGAGGCAAACAGACACCAACATCTCACTCTTAATTAATTGGAAAGGTAGGTTCTTGGGACAGAAACAAACTAAAAACCTCTTATACACAGAAGACATCATGAAGACCAAGCCTTGCGTAGAGAGCCATTACTACTAGTGATAAAGTTACCTACTACAAAAACTTACAAGGATCAACACAGAAAACAAACTGAAAACTTTTGAAATAGAAAATGACAAGATGCACAAGCAAAATGCAACTTCAGACCTCCAGCCCACCCAGAACAAGTCCAAGAGATAGAGAAAAATGGAAGACAATACTTGACATTTCTGAAATGATAGCAGCTGAAGTAAAAAAAAATAAATCCATGAGGCTATAGAGGAAATCAGATCAGAAATAATCTCTCAGGTTAAAAAAAAAAAGTCAATATTTATACAGGAATTGCTCAGCAAATCTAGAGTAAAGATAGATAAAAAATAGATGATGATAGGAAGAGGATGGAAACTGAATGATCAATATAGGAATGAAGTAGAATACATGAAATGGATTCAAACAGATATCCAGGACATTAAAAATTCCACTGAAAGCTGGCAAAACCACTTGAACAAAATTGAAGACAGACTTTCAGACCCTGAAGACAAGATCTCAACTAGCAATCAAGAAAGGAAAACTCTCTTGAAAATAACAAAACTATCAGGAAATAACAATTCAACAGCTGCAAGACAACACAATGAAAAATAATATAAGAATAATTGGTGTCAATGAAAAAAACCAGGAGTCAACTCATAAAAACACTATTTGCAGAAGTAATAACAGAAAATTCTCCAAGCATGGAAATAAAATCTGATGTACAGATAAGTGAAACATATACAACTCCAGTTAGCCACAACCAAAATAAATCTACACCCAGACATATAATAAAGATTGCAGAAATTCAGCACAAGAACAGTCTATTAAAAGTTGTTAGAGGAAAGAAACAGATCACCTCTAAATCACCTCTAAATCACAGCAGACTTCTCAACACAAACCCTAAAGTCAAGAGTTTGGAGTGAAGTATTTCAAGTCCTCAAAGAAAAAAACTTCCAACCCAGATTGATGTAACGTGCAAAACTATCTTTCAAAATTAATGGAGAAATAAGATAGTCCCATGATGAAGAACAACTGAAGAAATTCATGACCACCAAACCAACACTACAAAGGGTACTGAAAAATATTGTAGACAGAGATTCAAAATGACCACAATTCTAAGAACAACAACAGAAAGAAAACCACGAAGCAGGGCAAACAATTCAACAGGAAAAGTAGAGAACCAACAGCAGGAAAATAAATGACAAAGATAAGCCAATACCAATGTAAATGGCCTCAATTCACCAATCAAAAGAAACAGACAGGCAGAAAGGATCAAGAAACAAGATCCAACAATGTGCTGTATACAAGAAAGACATTTAACTCAAAAAGATTGAGGGACTAAAAATGAAAGGGTGGAAAACCATACCCCATGCAACAGGAGCCCAGAAAAAAGCAGGTGTAGCTATTCTGTTTGCAGACAGTGTGAACTTCAAACCAAGAATGTTCAAAAGAGATAAAGACAGTCACTATATACTTGTTCCTCCTTCCAGAGTTGGAAGTAACAATCATAAATACATATGCATCAAATACAGGAACACACAACTATTTACAATACATATTAATAAACATGAAAAGTCAAATGAGCAATAACACAATTGCAATGGAGTACCTTAACACCCACTGTCACAAATAGATAGATTAACCAGACAAAAAATAAGCAAAGAAATACTAGAATTGAAATATCAAACCTATGAACAAATGGACTTTGTAGATGTTTACATAGTATTCCACCCAACAACATCAGAATACACATTCTTCTCAGCTACACATGGGACGTTCTCTAAAATAGACCATATACTAGCCCACAGAACATCCTTTAGTAAATGCAAAAGAATTTAAATTATCCTATGTATATTATCTGACCATAGTGCAATGAAATTGGAAATTAACAGCAAAAGAAACCACAAAAACACATGGAAATGAAAAACACCCTCTCGAACAACTAGTGGGTCACAGATGAAATTAAATAATATCTACAATTAAACAAAAATGCTGATACAACATATTGGAACCTTTGGGACACATGAAAGCAGTCCTAAGAGGGAAATTTATAGCAGTGAATTCTTGCTTCGGAAAAACAGAATGAGTGCAAATAACCTAATGTTGCACCTCAAGCTTCTAGAAAAAGAGCAAGTAAAGCCTAAAGCCCAAAGAAGGGAGGAAATTATAAAGACCAGAGTGGAAATTAACACAATTACATCTAAGAAAACATTACAAAGAACCTATGAATCAAAGAGTTGGTTCTTTGAAAGAATAAATAAAATTGATAAACCCTTAGCCAATCTTATCAAACAAAAGGAAAGACAGATTCATGCAATGAGGAATGAGAAGGGTGAAATCACTACAGATCCTGTGGAAATTGAGAAGGTCATCAATGCCTACTTTGAAAATCTTTACTCTCACAGGATGGAAAACACAGAAAAAGTGAAGAGATTCCTAGATATATACAAATTACCAAAGCTGAATTAAGAAGATATAAATATTCTGAATAAACCAATATCAGTCAGTGAAATTGAAAATGTAATTAAAAACTTAGCAACAAAGAAAAGCTGAGGTCCTGATAGATTTACTGCTCAATTCTACAAGAAATTTAGAGATTTGATACCAGTACTCCTCAAACTCTTTAATGAGAGTGAAAGGGAAGCAATACTCCCTAACTCATTCCTGGAGGCAAGTATTACTCTGATACTAAACCAGAGAAAGACCCAACCAAAAAAAGAAACCTACAGGCCAATCTCCCTAATGAACATAGATGCCAAAAAACCTCAGTAAGATACTAGCACACAGAATGCAGCAAATTATCAAGAAGATTATACACCATGACCAAGTGTGATTCATCCCAGGAAGGCAGGGATGGTTCAACATACCCAAATCAATAAATGTAATACACTGTATCAACAGAACCAAAGACAGAAATCACATGATCATCTCAATTGATGCAGAAAAAGCTTTTGATAAAGTCCAAAACTCATTCATGATAAAAGTCCTACAGAAAATTGGAATAATTGTTACCTCAACCTGATAAAAGCCATCTATGACAAACAAAAAGCCAACACCATACTAAATGGACAAAAACTAAAAGCTTTCACTCTAAAATCAGGAAGAAGACAAGGATGTCCACATCACCTCTCCTATTCAACATAGTTCTGGAAACACTAGCCAGAGCAATTAGACAAGAGAGAAAAATAAAAGGAATAAGGATGGGAAAGGAAGAAGTTAAATTATTATTTGCAGATGACATGATACTCTACATTGAAGACCCCAAAAACTTCACCAAAAGACTTTTAGATTTAATAACCAAATTCAGAAGCATAGCTGGATACAAAGTTAACACTCAAATCAATAGCATTCCTGTACACAAATAACAAACTCACTGAGAGAGAAAATAGGGAAACCACATCCTTCACAATAGCATCCAAAAAAAATGAAATACTTAGGAATCAATCTGACAAAGGAAGCAAAGGATCGGTATATTTAAAATTACAATACTCTGAAAAAGGAGATTGAAGAAGATATCAGAAAATGGAAAGATATCCCTTGCTCATGGATAGGAAAAATCAACATAGTGAAAATGGCCATACTCTCAAAATTCTTATGCAGATTAATGCAATCCCAGTCAAAATACCATTAGCATATCTCATAGAACTGGAGAAAACAATCCCAAAATTTATCTGGAACCAGAAGAGACCTAGAATAGTAAAAGCAATTCTGGGCAACAAAGGCAAGGCAAAAGGCATCACAATCCCTGACTTGAAATTATACTACAAAGCTACTGTGATAAAATCAGCATGGTACTGGCAAAAACAAAAAACAAAACAAAAACCCTGAGGACCAGTGGAACAGCTTGGAAGATGCAGATACAACTACAAACACACTCAGCTGCCTCATCTTTGACAAGGGGCCAAACATGTTCACTGGAAGAAAGATAGTACCTTCAATAAATGATGTTGGGAAAACTTGCTCTCTCTATGCTGAAGCCTAAAACTAGGCCCCTCTCTATCACCATGCACTAAACTAAAGTCAAAATGTATCAAAGATCTAAATACTAAAACAGAAACACTAAAGTTACTGGAAGAGAAGGTAGGTAAAAATCTTGACGACATAGGTGTGGGCAGAGACATCATGAACAAAACCCAGACCACACAGGAAATACTACAAAGCATCAGCAAATGAGGTCATCTTATTGAAAAGCTTTTGCACAACAAGAAAAACACCAACAGAGTCAAAAGACAACCCACAGAGTGGGAAAAAATTATAGCCAGTTGCCCTTAAACAAATGACTTGTATTTAGAACATATAAAGAATTGGAAAAAAGTCAGGCCCCCAAAATTCAAAGACTCAGTCCAAAAAACAGCATTTGACAGTGCTGCCACTGGCCACAAAATTCTCAAAGGAAGAATTACAGATAGCAAATAAATACATGATAAAGTGTTCAACAATATTGGTCATTTGAGAGATGCAAATTAAAACAACACTGAGATTCCCTTTCACTCCAGAAAGAATGGCTATCACCAAGAAATCAACCAATAACAAAGGTTGGTGGGGCTGTGCAGAAAAAGGAACCCTTCCCCATTATTGGTGGGGGCATAGAATAGTGCAACCACTGTGGAAATCAGGATGGAGATTCCTCAAAAAACTAGAATTAGAGGTCTCATTTGACCCAGCTATTCCCCTGCTGGAATCTTCACAGAAGAATTAAAAGCATCATACCACAACAATAGATGTACACCCATGTTTACAGCAGCACAATTTATAATAGCTAGATCTTGGAAACAACCCAAATGCCCATCAACTGAGAAATGGATAAAAAGTTGTGGTATTTGTATGCAATGGAGTACTACTCAGCCATAAAGAAAGATAAACTTGACTTTTATAGATAAATGTCTGCAACTCGAGACTATACTCAAAATGAAATAAATTAGACTCAATATGATGTGCAAACATCATATTATTTCCCTGGTGTGAGAAACTGAAAGAGTAAATAAGGTCTGAAATATACAGTAGGTATTGTGAAATGGGAAGAAAGTATTTAAAAGGAAATAGGAACTAGGATGGGTTAAAGGGGAAAGAACAGTAGGGAAAAGGGAAAAAATGCAAGTCAGTTATACTATTAGTGTCTCTTAGTTCATTAAAAAGGAAGGTTTGTGCTAATATTGATTGGAGAAATTTCTCTGCCCATATCTTGTACCCTGAGCAGCATGTGAGCAACATGGGATGTATCAACTATTGTTAGTCTCCTATTATTTTGTTATGAAATTTTGTTTTACCATTTTTCCATTAAAAAAAAGAAAGAAAAAAACTGCACGAACCAAAGGCTCTCCCTCGAATTCTGAGAATCTCGCAAAGCAGCAAGCAGCAGCCTCTCTGACACAAACAAGGACACAAATACAAAGTCTACTCCTGAGCTCAGCATTGTGGAGAAGATCACACAGGGCACAGAGGCAGCTTGACCTTTCATCCTGAAAGGGCGTGTTGGTGCACCCCAGCCACCCAACCGCGGCCTGGCGCTGCCCCAAATGAGTGGCTATCTCTGAGCAGCCACTCATTTGATGTTCAGGTCAGGTCTGCTGGTTTCTTGCTAGAAGCTGAAGAGCACACCGCATCTCCCAAGATTCATCCCCCGTGTCTCAGTAACCACACGTTCTGCCACCGCACGGGCTCTTCCGCTGTCTGTGCGAGGGCCAGGCCTGGCAGGGCTGTCCTCAGGGGAGAACTGACAGTGCTGCCACTGGCCACGAGGCGGGTAGAGAAGAGGGGGAGATGCAGCCATACAGGATGCAGTTGCACAGTGACCCCGACTCTCAGGCTACCCTTGTCTCTGCGAACTGCTGGTCCTCAGGCAGAGCACACACTGCAGAGTTAAGGTCAGACTGTTAAAAGTCTTGTTTTCAGAGTGTGCTGGGCTCCCCACAGCATCCCGAGACACCTCTAGATCAAGTAAATCTGAATTGAGAATGAAGCCTGTGGGTATTCAGTGGAAACATTGTAAACACTAGAAATGACCTGAGCGGTCACCTCCAGTGGCCAATGTGATTTACCTTGGGGCATCTGACCCTGCCACCAGTTGGAGTGAGGGAATGGGGTGCCTGACGCTGTCCCTGGCTTCACAGGGGCGGACCCCCTGGTGGAGAACTTCGAACCTCTATACGACTGGGACGAGTCCTGGGAAAGGGCTGGTGAGGATGAAGGCGTGGTGCCAGGGACGACGCCACTAGACATGGCAGCCAGCTGGCAGGTGAGTGCTGGGTGGGCTGAGGCTGGGCATCAGCAGGCTGTGAGCATAGTGGAGACCAGAGAGGCCAGGACAGAGTGCAGAGCTCAAACGTGGCTCCATGCCACACATCACAGTCCCAGGCAAGAGGTGTGCCTGTGAACTGGACATAGGACACAGGAACAAGGGGGAACCTCTGAGTTTCTGTAAATAACAGGGCACAGTGGCTAAAAGCCTTCCTTCAGCAATGCTGAACTGAGGCCGGAATGGAGAGGCTGTCACTGAGCCTTTAAGGGGGAGGTGGCCACACATGGGTCTCCCACGGGACAGGCTCAGTGCTCTCCAGAGGAGCTTGATGTCACATCTGGAACCTGCTGGTGGCCCAGATGACAGAGCTCCCCTTCTATGACTGAGCCACGGGGGACCTCAGACACCAGAGACCCAGAGCTGGACAGCTCCTAGCCTAACATCTGTGGGCTGTTTCTCCACCCAACAGGTATTCGACATCCTAAACGGGAAGCCATACAACCCTGAGGTCATAGCCGATGACCCCCTGGCCCAAGGTGCGTGGTGTGGGCAGTGTGTCGTGCAGGGTTGGGTGTGGCCTTGGAGGAGGGAGGGGTCAATCGTCTGCTCTGGGTCCCTGAGCTGAGACCTGGCTGTGTCCTCGGGGAGGTTGGGGCCAGTGGGGGGTTGAGACTAGCGTGCCTCCTCTTTGTCCTCACAGGGGACATGAAGCAGCTGAGTGAGGAGGCCAGGCTGCAGCTCTACAAGCTGCTGGAAATCCCCGACCCGAAGAGAAACTGGGCGACACTAGCACAGAAGCTGGGCCTGGGCATCCTGAACCACGCCTTCCGGCTGAGCCCCACACCGGCCAAGACGCTCATGGACAACTACGAGGTAACACGTTCCCTGCCACGGAACCACATAGCCGGGCTCTTTCTGTGTACATCACAATCGGGATACTGTCCCCTCCCTGCTGCGGGGAAGAAAACCTGCCCAGCCCAGGAGGGGTCAGTGAGGGGACTTGCATTTTCCACTCATCTCCGGATGTCAAGACAGCTGTTTCCAAATATTCATGAGGATGCCACCTATGAGAAGCCAGGGCTGTCACCACGCAGAACTCCCGAGCAAGCACGGTAGCTAGCACACGGCTTCTGTCCCCGAGAATGCCCCGGTCGTAGCCCAGGAGGAGGACTCATCCTGGAGATGACCCTCAGGGGGGCCGACCACTAGTGGCTGCTTCTTCTGACAATAAAGGTGGAAAACAGAGGGCGAGTTCTTTTCTGTTGAAAATGCATTGTTTGCTGTTGTCTCAGTGGACCCAGAGCTTTAGCTTGCACAGAGATACAGTGGGAACCTCACTCTGGGTACCTTCTCTCTCCATCTCTCTCTCTCCCCCTCTTCCCACCTCTCTCCCCCCATCCCTCTGGCTCTGTCCGTCTGTCTGTCTGTCCATCTCTCTGTCCGTCTGACTTCTCTCCCTCCCTCCTCCTCTCTCCACTCTTCTCTCTCCTTACAATAAACCACTTCTCTGTGATTTCCTCTGTGTTGGGGAGCTGAGACAGGAAGCTGGACTGAAAGGCACATGTCCCTGTCACCCTCTGTGCCCCTTGCAGTCCCACCTGGCTGCCAGTGTGAACAAAATGGCATGGAGAGGGACAGGACGGGAGCAGGCCGCAGTGTTTCCAGCCTGAGCTCTAGATGGTGCTTTCTCTCTCTCCAGGTCTCCGGGGGAACCGTCAAGGAGCTGATGGAGGCCTTAGGACAGATGGGCTACACGGAAGCCATCGAAGTGGTCCAGGCAGGCTGCTGCCGCTCAGGAACCCCCAGCCCCATGAAGGGCACCACGCAAGCCCCCCTGCCATCCCTGTTGCTGTCACCACAGTTTGGTAAGGGTACACCGGGTATATCAGGGTGTTCCCACTTCCTGCGGGTATGGGGTTTCAGGTCTCGGGATACAGAGGGCAGAGCCATCCCCGCTGTCACCCTCTGTCCCTCGTGACACCGTTCATATGAGGGACAGTGACGCAGACACATGAGCTACCTGGCTTCCCGTCAGTACCACACCCAGCAGGATACGGCAGGGTGAGGTGACCCCACTCTCACCAAAGGAGAGGGACTCAGAGAGGGCACAGCGGAGGGGTGGGGACCAGGCCAGACCAGAGTGACACCCCCAGTGCTCCCAGAGACCCATCTTCCTCAGGGTCCTCTCCATGCTCAGGACACTGACCTGCCCACCAGGCAGCCCACCAGCACACATCCGCCCAGACCTGGTTCCAGCCACTCCCCAGCCCCTCCGTCTCCACCAGGCTTCTCCGCTCCCACAGCATGCCTGATGCCCCCCTGCCCCCCCGCCCCGGGCCTCATCCTGTGCTCCCACCTTCCACCCTCAGAAACAACACAGCTGGGGCTGGGGATTTAGCTCAGTGGCAAAAGCGCCTGCCTGGCAAGCGCAAGGTCATGAGTTCGGTTCCCGGTACCGGAGAAAAACCA